TTATTTCTCCACGTTGCAAAAGAGAAGCCATGCATAGCGAGAAAGTATCAAAAAGTTGTCAATTCTAATGTAATGACAGACCATGTCAATCCGACAGGCGTTTCGTGGATTTAGCACAGTGTCACATAAGCACCCATAAAATCTGACACCTTCCCGCAACTCGAACCGCGCCTCTGATCTGCTCGTCTGAGGATTGCATCTGGCAATTCTTCCACTGTCGTTTCCATGGCATCCAGGACAAGTTGCAATGGCAACGCGGTGCTGAAGCAAAAAAATGCAGGCACACCAGGGCGGCAGAAGGCCGAATAGGCAACCCAGCCGACTCTGATTCCGTGAAGCCGCGATCAAAAGAAGGAAAACGAAAACCGGGAAATTAATTGGGAAAACAATTGTCAATTCAACACTCTGCATAGCAATTGGTGTCAGCTCCCTACGTATCTGCTTATATAATCAGCTCTGGGTGCATCCAACCTGAATTCACAAAACAAACGCATGACAGCGTATTGCTTGTACTTCAAGGGAGGTAAGCTAACCGTTCCAGTGTGACAGATTTCGAGGTGTCGAGGTGAACATCCAAAGTCTGAAGGGCATCCATCAAACTTTAGAGTCACTGCTTACTCAATGTCTATATTAGTCTATATTACTTACTATATCACCTGACATAGAAAAGACGTTGACACAGGGCCACCACATGAATCAGAGAACTGCGGTCGTCAACTGATCACACTCTCGAACCTGCAACAGTCAAACACGCGCCGCTCTTTTAGCAGCAGCCAGTTGAGTTACCGTGACTTTCATCAAACATGTCTCAGACATGTGTCAGCTAGACTGATCGAATCCTATGGCTACAAAAACCGTTGAATGGAATGAAAAACATTGAATTTGATTTTCTCTCTCTCTCTTTCTTTATCCCAGAATTCAGCTTTTGTCTGACGTGTCTGACACTTACCTGAAAAACTCAAGCGACTCAAGCACCCTGCCATTGACATGCGAACCACATGGTCGTTCTGTGAGCAGCCTGGCGGCGGAAAAGTCGGGAGATGCTGGGTTGCTGGACCCTTCGAAGTGAGACCCTCAATAGGCCATTGGGATTCCTTGCAGCTCATACAAAGGGAAATGGGGCGCCAATTTTTGTGCTTCCATTAGACCCGGTACTCGACTAGAATCTTTCACATGAGGCTATGGCGGCTATTGAGGCTGTCCGTGCACAGTCCCTTATCACCAGCTCGAGGTTTTGTTCGGAAGCATTCTATACTTGTAATCAAACAAATTGGTACAAGACCAGAGTAGTCTGTGATACTCGGCAGGCGAACGGCTTTGCCAATTGCCCACTTCGAGTGGCCGCCCGAATTCCTTTACATTCACTTGCGCCTACGCAAGCCAAGCAGACACATCTCTTTCGGTGTAAGCAAAGCCCTTCCTCTCCAGCCATGCCACCTCGGCCTTCTGGGAATTTCCAAGGCCTTCGGATGCCTGAAGGAGCTTGCGATCCTCCTCGGAGAGCGAAGCCAAGAAAAGCCGATGAACCTCCCTTGAATACTGAGAAGAACCGTCTGAACGAGGCTCTTTCCAAAGGCATTCAATGCCACGATCAATGGCTTGAAACTCTGAAGACTTCAGGAACTGTTTCAACTTGCCTTGAATGGCTTCTCGCCTCAGGTGCTCTTTGCCAGCCATCGAGAAATTCTCAACTTTGCCTTTTCCCACCATCCCTGCAAAGAAATAGACTTCCAATTCGGCACCTTGTCGAACAGCTTCCTCGATGTTGTTCATCCACTTGGTCCACCAGCGGCACCCCCAGCGCTTCTGCTCCCCATAGACGGGAATGCACCAGCAGCTGCCCTCAAGGTTTTCCTCCTCTGGGATTGGGTCATGGCAGCCGAAATGTTCAGAGCCTTCTGGCAGAAAGACCACAGCGGCGCTGACATTGCCTTTGCGGCTTCCTGTGACCAGGACATCCCAAGCAGATTCGTACTTCCCAGGCCATGAGGAAACACATGGGCCCTTACCCTCAAGGATGGAGCCGTGGAAGACAATGGTGCGTTCGGCAACGCTTTGCTTGTCATCATCCTCTTCACGCTTGATGTTTTCCTCCAGGGATGTACGAGAAAAGTAGAGGCCCATCAAGCCGGAAATGCAACAACACGGCAGCCCAGCAGACAGCCCTGCCCACCAGTATCCTGCAAATATGTAACGAGCAATGGCAGCAGCCGCTCCAAGCGCTGCCAGGAAGAAGAATGCAGAGCCAGCATGAAAGGCAAGCCACTTCAAAAGACCACTGTTGAAGCGCGCACCAAAAATCTGAAAATTGCTACCACAAAGCCCCAAACAGCAAAGCAGCACGACCACTGCCGAGCTCAGGCCCACAGAAGAGACCGGACCCTGAGGCTCAACAACGATGCAAAGTGCGAGAAGTCCGATGCCGAGCAACGTGCACAAAACAATGAATGGAAAGTACCAAAGGACGTGCTCACGTCTTTCTATTGCAAGTTCCTTTTCCATCTGCTTCTTTCGGTCAAGCAGCAGGCACCGCTCCCTTTGAACCTGCTTCTTCTCGTTTTCCAGGAAATGCCTGGCTTCAACACCGAAATACCCAAAGGACTTCGATGCATGCAGTGTCAAGGCACCACTTACTTGACAGCTGCCAGAGATCTTGGGATTGTCGCGCAAACAAATCTGCATGACAGAGTCTCGAGTTACAGCGGTACGAAATTTGTGGTATCTTTTCGGGTAAAGAACCTTCGCCTCTTCAGCGAATTTAATTTCGAGTGCTGCTGGCAAGTCGTTTGCAACCACGACCGTGCAAACTTTGCCGCCAGGATCTACGGGCCCTTTCGATTTTTTTTTATCTTTAGCATCTGTACCATCATGCACGAGGACACTGTGGACACTTCCAGGCAAGTTCACAGGCACTTCGAAGCTTGTAGGCCCTGTAGGCACTTCCAAGTTTCCTGTTTCTGGATGCACTTTCGTAGGCGATTCGGGCACTGAAGGGCACTCCCATGCCTCCTCGCTATGCATGGTTCCTAAAACCTACTCTGCTGTGAACCTACATATGACCGTGCAGAATAGTTGGGTGGTTCAAATCCTCAGGGGATCAGAGGTTTACTGCAAACTTGCAACCAGTTATAACAGTTATATAACATGTTATAACCAGTTCAACAATACTTTTGTGGACCTGATGCACGGGCTCACAAAGTCTCCTTAAGAGAACATGCTTGAGCCCCTGCAGAGTCAAGCGGCCAGCGGCCCGCAATGGCCCGCAAGAACCCACCTTGCCAAGACCGCTCAGTTCTCAAGAAGCCACCAAATTCACCAAGCAGAGGTGGAACTTTGGAACACGTTGAAGGTACAGGTGAAAAGCATGAAAAGCATGTGAAACATGTTCCATGGGGAAACGTCCTGTGAATTCCCTCCTACAACAAGAACACCAACAAATTACGGTCAACATCTATAACTATAACGTCTGATGTCATCTGATGTCTATATAATGTTTACCGGAAATGAGACCACTTGCGAGTCTAAGGCGCAGAACTCATTCAACTTCACGCATCTGAAGGGTTTGAGCTGAATTTCCCCAAACAAAACTCATCAAAAACTCAAATTTTCTCCAATCTTCTCGAACATATGTCCGATTCTGATAATCCATCGATATCCGATGCATCTGATGCACTTCTTGGTGCGGCTTTCAGCTTCTCAGGGCGCGCCTTGCGCACCAACGATGAGATTGTACTGCTTCCCATGTACCGCATAGCAATGACAAATTCCATGAAGTTATCTTTTTCTATCAGTGATATAAATGAGATGTATATACTGTGCACGGTAGACACAACCTCATTGTATGTAGGGCTGGAAATCTGTTGGTGGCATGTGTGTATGTCTATGTGACGAAGCATATCTACAGGTGGCAAGTGCGTAAAGTTGCCGCAGAGATTGCAAATCTATTGTAATTCAATCAAATCCTGGCCCACTGTCGGCAAACATCTGAGGGTATAGCTTTATGGTCCAAATGTCTCGAGTCATAAGCAAGCAGAATTCATGGCTGAATTGCACTACAATTACCACATGATACATCATGATACCATGGATTCATTGCTACTGTTGATTGTCTGTATATGTCCAAACTGCTCTTGCCTTTACCATGCTTAAACCATCTGCACCACATTGGCAGGGTACCTTACAGGCATTAAGTGCGGTTGCCAAGCAAAGGGGTCAAAAAGTGCCTCGATGTGCTGTTAATCGCAACACTTTGCGATCTCTATCCTGGATTCTGCTTCCTTACTGCTAGGTCAACATGGAGGCGTATTGCAACGGAGCGCTGAAGCAAAAAAATACGCAGGCACACCAGGAAGAGGGCAGGGAGTCCAATAGGTGGCCAGCAAATGAAATGGAAGTAAGTGAAGAGATAGTTCGATGTCATAGGTGCTCAAAACCCAACACCTTACTCTGATTCCATTAAGTAGCAAATAAAAATGAAAAACAGAGGCCGTGAAAAAACCAGTCGAAGCGTGACTCTGTGAAGCAATTAGCGTCAAAATTCAGTTCCTTGCATATCTGATTGACCGGCTGATCTTGGTTCTTGCATGATGTTTGATTGATGTCATAAGTTTGGAACAAGCCATGCTGAAGGTTTGAGGGCGCATGCAAATTGAATCCACAATGCAAATGCATAAAACCCAAAAGAACTTAGACTTAGACCATTTGGCCCCAAAACGACGCAAGATCGGGGCACTGCTTCGTACTTCAAAAAAGGAACGCCTATATCCTGTTTTCAAACTGCGTATGGATCTGCAGCACCCCCTCACTCAAGATCTACGAAATGCAGATTGAGACCGGTCCCCATGTTATCATGGGAAATCATACAGCTTCACCCATGTCCCATGTAATGATGTCTTCAGCTTCCTCTCGGACTGCTGCACTTCTTTTGCGGCCAGCTGCCTTCACTATCAATGCGTATCCATGGGGTGAATATATCACTTAGATCGTCTTAGATCCAAAGAATCCCTTGGTCAGAAGCTGTTGAATGGAATGTAGAACATCAAACATCGTCTCTCGAGTCCACACTTCCTTTTTAGTTGGCCAGTTGCCACTTGAGTCACTCAAACTCTTTGCTGGGGCCAATTCCTTTTGACAAGCAGACCAAACAGCCATGAAGAGCCCATGGCGCTCAACAAAAGTCCGGACGAGCCGTTCGCCTTGGTCCAGCCAAAGGCGCAGCCGATCCGACAAGAGAGGCCGGCGCAGCCTCAAACCATGGCGCCTGGAGGAGGCTGCAATCCTGCACAACTCAAATGGCTCACATGGCTCGGCTCAAACACGTCAGAAACATTCCTTGTGAATCCACTCTCTTACGGTACTTACGCCATCTTACGCCTATCTTTATGATACTCAAAAAATGTCAAAAATGCAAAGCATCGCAGTGCCGCCCAGAATCTTTAAGCATTTCGCAGGTATTGCCTTGCCATCATCACCAAGTGCCGCACACTCTCCAAAGCTCTTCTGGTAACAACTGCGTGGGTCTAGCAGGCCCTCTGAACACGAAGCCGTCCAATTCACCAAGCGATGGAAAGCTGGCGATTCCGCCTTTGTTTGCTGGCTGAGTTCAAAACGGACATGATGAAAAATGCTGGCAGCTGCACCTAGGAGATTGCAAGCGTCAGTGTCCATCAGCAAATGCTGGGTCGATTGTCGTATTCCTTCGAAGTCCCAGGGTCGTTTTTGGACCAAGGAGACCTTAGTGCCCTCCACCAGTAAGTTGCATCGAAGAAGTGGCATCCGCATGGGTCGAATTTCTTCATAAGTTTCCATATCCAAGTGCTCCACGACCTGCGGAACCATAGCCAGCTCTTTCCCCACGATGGACATGAGCCCAAACAGGGGCCAACCAGACTCCAAAATCTCCTGGAAGCTGCTGATGTGCCATGCCCTGCTGAGGGGAAGCCGAAAGTGAAACTCTTCAGCAAGGGCTTCAGATTCTTTCACCAAATCGCTGCGGCGAATCGTTTGCAAGGTCACCTCGCCATGCTAAACACGAGAGGTGAAATGTCGCTAGAACTTTTTTCCCCCTCTGTTGAGACCTGGGAAGCTGTTGAGGGTTCCTGATGGCCTATGTATGAAAAGTGGTTTCTAGGCACCCATAGGAATTGGTCGATTTGTCTTAAGCCACCTATTTCAAAAAGAAAATATTATACACATCTATATAGGAAGTTTGGGTCAGATTTCGTTGTCACTCCGGGGTACTATAATATAAGAACATTGAAAAACATTACAAACTATAGCGGTTTCGAATGGTTTCCAAATAGTTCAACCATGCACCAGATGCAAAACACTGGTATCAAAACATATCAAAACGGTCAACATGGGCCGACACCGTCCAGTTCATCTCCCGGGCACAGCCAGTCGCTCAGTCCAAAAGAAGACGGTTTGTTGGCCAAGTTCGATGAACATATGCCGCGTATCAGTCTCAGGGTTATTAGTCCGATCCCGCAGTAAAGAAAATGCGAGCCCAAGAGTCAGCATGCCCATAGGACACTGATCATCCCAGTCTCGCAAATCCCCGTTCGACCAATAATGGAAGAGAATCTCCACATCAGGCCCGAGATCAAGTGCACTAATGCTGACGGACTCATCTGGCACAGCCTGCTTCAACACTTGTAGCAGGTCTTCCAAAGCAGTTCGAACACCTCCCCAGCCTTTCCTGGGTGATTTGGGAAGGGTCTGCAATTGGACTGGCAACGAACAGCTGGGGTCAGGGTGGAAACCTCTTTGCCGCACCCAGACCTCATCCACTGAGATGCGCTCCATAAAGCGAAAACCGTTTCGTGTCAGCAGATTCGACAGTCGTCTGTACATCACTTGGGGGAGAGCATTGTCAACCTCAATACTCATCACATCGACTTGATGCTTTTGGAAATCAAAATGTCTCAAGATTTCGAGTTCAGAACCCTCCACATCCAAAGATAGGTAATCAATTTTAGATCCTAGATGGCCCAAGTGAATATCTATTAATTTGCTCAATGACTCGCACATCATTAAAGACCTTTCTTTGGCACTGGTCATGAGTCGATGTTTGCTGGTTGTGCCGCTGTTCAGACCAGAGTCGACAAAATCCTTTTGGGTGGCACCGGCCGCTACGCAAGTTTGAACACATTTTGCCTTGGGGCGATTCTGCCGGAGTTGTTGATACAGACTTGGTGAAGGCTCGATCAACAGCCCAGTCCAGCCAAGTTTTTGCTCGAACGCTAAAGTGTTGCTCTTGTCCACACCATCTCCGGCGCCAAGTTCAATGAACACACCTTGGCGGCGGTTTTCACCTGCAAGGTGAGAGTACCATTCATTAGAAGCATGTTCGCTGTATAGCCACCGCATGATTTTTCGATCTTGTCCATACTGAGAATGCCAACCCGAGAGCCAGTCGATGGTGAAATTGTCTCCGGTCAAAGTTGTAGCCAAAGCGTAGCCAGTACCAGCTATCCAGCCCCACACATGTTTCACATTCATGACAACGGCAATGCAATTTTCAGAAAAACAAATGACATGTGTTGCGAGTGTTGCCAGTGTTTTTCAAATCCAAACAGCTGCAAATTTGGAAAAACTGAGTGGTGCCGTGCAAAAACCGAATTGATTTTATATTGAATATTGGTGTTTGAGCCAGGGTTTCAATACTATCAGGCATCCTGCACATCAAATTTTTGCACGTCCTAAAGGATCTGGTATCCACGAAGAGGCTCATGGACCCGTTATTTCCAGATCTAGGTTCGTCAGCCCTGCTGCATTCAGCACAGGTTCGAAACCATAATGTCCTTGGAAAATTAAAGTGGCCAGGTTGGCATACCACTCAACATCATGTCATGCCTGTTGGTTGCGAAGGATGGGGGGGTTCCCCTATCGATCAACCAACCTGTGGGAAAAGGACATCTATGATTTCAAATTCGTCCGTGTGTTCTTGTGCGTGTTTTATTTTGAAAACTGCACGGCACCAACCAATTTGAATGATTGCGACGCAATGGGTTGGAGTTCCGGCATGGATTGTTTACGTTTTTGCTGGACGGCCGTGGGTTCTAGCACTGAAGTTACCCCGTCCCATGGCAAAATGAATTGCCTGACTGAAGTTGCTAACCCTGTTGCCACAGCATTTCCACAGGGTACCTTTTTGAGGTTTCATACTTCTGGACTGCATACGTGCCAGGGCGCTTTGGTATTGCAGGTGATGCTTCGAAATACGCGACCACTATTCGCACACAATCATTCAGCGGGACAAGGGGTTTGGGTCCAAAGTTTCAAACGATAGCGTCCTATGTTTGTGGCATGTTTCGCTGCGATGTTTTTCATGGAACATGTTGCCAAACTGTTGTCTGTCCTATTGGCACACCAGCAAAAAAGAAAAAAAGTAACTCAAGAGAAAACGCCGTGTAAGAAAAGAGGCAAACTAAAACAATAGGTAGCCGAACGAGGTCTTACAAGCGCAAATGAAACCAATTTGTTCGCCAGTTGTGTCCTTCAAAATAATTTTCCCATCTCAGTTCCATTCTTTTCCACCCCTCAACATCCAAGAAAGACTTGAGTTGGCAATAGAGGCGGCAATAAATATGCTTGTTGTTCAACTTGTATAGTGGAGGACCAAACATCCAAAGAACACAGGTGGTGATAACATCCTGCGTACCATAGCAATTCCGAGAAAGTAAGTGACATGATTTCAAGAGAAAGCACCTGAATAAAGTTCGCATTATTTCGTCTCCCAATCAAACGGACTATGTTGCAGTGCCTGTTACCTGAATCCCCGCAACATTAGAAAGGCGCCCAAAATCCCCAGCCTAGCCGTTACCTGCACCCAGCTAGCATTACTCTGAAACCGCCCAAGCTGCTTTTTCCAGCACCTCGAGCCACTTGCAGTTGAGCGGCAGTTGTTCACACTGATATGAACAAATACTACACAGGTGTTGCTGGGGCAGCTAGATTTCACACCCCGCCTTGGAAACTGTCGTTTTAAACGGTTTCCACTTCTTTTGACACCTGTTCACACCTGAGGACTCTTGTAAGTCCGTCCTATCTCTTCTATTGGTGTTTCACCATAGGCTGCACTCATCCATCAGCCATCATAGTCCCAGCTTCTTGGCATCGTGCTCGATGTAGCACCATCGCCATCTGCACCAGGATCTCTTCCCTCTCGGCCACCATCAGCCCACTCATCAGGGTCGGATACCTCACCCTGACTGCTTTGAAGTTATCTGCGATACCTTTCCTTTGGAATTGCAGTGTCGTCCTCCAGCCAAGCATCATCATCATTTTCATGAACTGCTCCACTGTCAGCAATTTCAGCACTTGCATTTGTGAGGATAGCAATGCCTTCCTCAGTTGTAGGCACCATGCCTTCTGGTACTGCTCGGTGAAGACCACTGCTCGAGGCAGGTTATCTCCTTCTCCAAGATCTGGATGTTCACCAGGGCTTGCACCATGCGTCCCATTCTGCAGGCAAATTCTCGGGGCTCGGTGGACTTCACGGTCCTCCATTTCCATGACATTCTCCATGGCATCAATGGTTCTCTCCACGCCAGCACGTACTTCAGCTTCTCCATCTCCATCACCAATTGTTGCATCATCTTCAGCATCTTCTTCTTCGCTGGTCTCCTGATTGTACTAAACCCCACTGAAGGGTACGCTGCGAGCATCAGGTAGGGCATCTTGGACAAAAGGGTCTTCTCAATCTGCCAAATCCATCCCGCTTCTAATTGAACTCCACACGGCTTTGTACTTGGCCATCTCCATGTTGAGCTTGTTGATGTGGTTCACCAGATAGCTCACCAATCCAACCAGCACCAATATTGATAAAGTCCACCACGCTGTTGGTGTCCACGGTGTAGGACTAACCCATAAAACGACATGCTTCACATCCATGTAGGATTGTCACATCCTTGCAAATTCCCAGCAGCCATCATGCCAATCACCAAACGCACAATCTGTTTGACTTTTGCACCTCCGCCAATGATGTTCTCCTCATTGAAAGTTTCACTATCCAGTCCAATCTTCTTCATGAGGTATTCTCGGCGTTCAGTGATAGAGGCTTTGTGTTCAGATCAGCCGGGTTCTATTTTGTGGAGATCCTCTCAACTAGAAACCACTTCTTTTTCATTGCCTGTTGGCTCCACAGAAGTCGTGTTGAAAGATGTTTTGCGCGACCAGGTCCGAATCAGTTGAAGAAACTTTGGGCACTTGTTGAATCCAACCGCAACCTCATCTGAACTTGAGCATTGTTGCTGCCATTGTTGCTGAGTCCACCTTCATCCCCAAGAAGAAATTGAAGCAGTTGCTTCAGCTGGATGCCTTCCACCAACAAACTGGTAGCTGCAAGAATGTCAGCTTCCATGGAAGAAAGTGACACTGACATCTGCGCGCGGCTGTGGCTGCGCACGCAGCAGGAGTTCAGGAAAATCAGTCCTGATGATGTTGATCTCCATTCCAACGGCTCAATGTTGGAGAAAAGAGTTCAGCTCGAAGATAGTGCGTCTTCATGTCCTGGGTCTGAACCAAATAGCTTCCCAGCTTCTTCAATGCACAGAGGGCTATTCTTGTTGGCCGTCCCATGTAGCTCGCAAGAACTCGAACTGCTTGCTGAATGTAAAGACAAATTCCCAATGCAGACCTGAAAGTTTTGGAGTCGTTGGGCTCCAGGTACTCCTCCATTGGGATCACTTCAGCGTTGAACACAGTGAGGGCAGTGTGGTGAGGGACAGGTAGGCCAACTCCTCAGCGCTAACTTCTGGAGGCCCAGTGTCCTCATTGAAAAATCCAGACCTGCCCTTGTCCTCACTGCTGATCTCATAATCTGCAAAGTCGCCCTCCAACAGCCGGTCGTTGACATCCCAATCCCATGTTTCCAAAGGGGTTTCTTCTTCAGATTCATGTTCATCATGAAGTTCAACTTCATCAACAATTCTTCTCACATGACCAGTTGCCGTAGGGGGACTGGATGCAGAAGCAGAGGGGCTCGAAACCAAATCACCAGCAAAAGCAGGGCTAAACATGCCACTTGTTCTTGACTGTTTTGCCTTCTTCTCTTCGGTCTCGGTGTGGTCAAACTTCACAAATTTTGCTTGACCTGGAGGCTGACTGGCTTGGGATCGCTTGACACCTTCTGGATCTGCCAAACGTTGTTTCGAAGCCACAGTAAGCGCCAGGTCAAACTCACGGTCGCGCTTCTCAGCCTCAGGAATCATCTGCTCCATTTCTGCATCGGACATCTCAGGAGGCTTGATGTCGACTGCTTGAAGTTCTTTTGGAGGAACTGCAATCACCTCCTCCTTGTCCTCGTCGGGGTGCTCCTTGGCATACTGCAGCACTGCTTTCTCATCTTCATCTTGTTTGATCTTGTTGAAAATCCTTAAGATCCTTGTTTTGGAACCTGAAGCTGAAACTTTCAAGTACTCGGCTGCTCTTCGAAATTTCTCCACTGAGCTGTTTGCGGTGAGCTCCTCTTCGCCAACAATGGCCTTGTCACGAGCTTCTGCTTCATGTAGGACAGGTGCAAGTTGCTGAAACTCAGGAATGTCACACCCTTGGGTTCCTTCATCAGGGGTATTTCACCAACTTCTGAACCAAGAGGGGTTCCAGGCTCATAAACAACTTCCAATTGTTGTCCACCTTGATCCAACAAACCACCAAATGAAGTGAGGTTCTGGTTCTACTTGGATAGGGTCTTTGGATAGGTCTTTCCTTTCTGCTTGCCTTTGCCCTTTCCTTTGTTGCCACGTCCTTTGCCTCGACCTCGTCCACGACCAGACAAGCCGTAGCTGCCGAAGCTCCACCAACTCTTGCCCTTGGACTGTGACTTGCCTTTTCCTTTGGATCCTTTTCCTTTGCATCCTTTTCCTTTGTCGTTGTAGATGCGGTCCACCTCCGTAGGCAAGGGCCCATTGTTGTTGGAATTATCAGGCACTGAGTTCAAGGATTTCAGAACTGCTTCTGTTGTCCAGCTCTTTGATGCCTTCTCAAATCCAAGCATGGCTTCACGAAGTTGGCTATACCCAGTACTGTACTTTCTTTAACTGTCACCTGCAAATGTTCTCGAAGCTTGGTTCCACTGCACCTGATCAGCCTTGCTGCTTTGAGCTCTTCTGGGCAAACTTGTTCTGACAGTTCTTGAAATTGTTGAACCAGGGGCTCGTACATCAGCACGTTCTCAAGAGCACTCTTCGAACTTGAAAACTTGGGTATGTTGCCAGGGCTTGAGCTGCTGCAAGGCTACGCTGTCGGCTTGAAGGTTCATACTCAGCCAGCAAGGCCGTCCACAAACGAAAACCATCCTTGGTACGAGAAAAACTTCTCACCAAACCAACGCATCTTCCCCTCAATCAGAGGTCAGCACAGCATAGAGCTTCGTTGCAAGGTCCTGCTCGTCAGGGCTGTAGGGCTTCAAATCCTCTCCAGGCTTGAGCTTCTCGATCTCTTCAAAAGCTTTCTGGAAAGGACTGTCTCCAAAAGAAACCCAACTGCAGAATCCAAAC